ATGCTCAGCCAGTGAGCGGGAACTGGCCTCCACATGGGATCCGAACCCTCGGCGGGAGCGCCGCTGTGCTCCCAAGCAGCGCACTCTCCAGTGCACCACCAGGCCGGCCCTCAGTTGGGCTATTTTAAAAATTACTTGGATGTATACAAATTTGGCTCTGGTGCTAGTGGGTTTTGAGCTAATAGCTTCCAACCTGCAGTGAAAAATTAAAAAGAAAGAACACAGGAACCAAAAAAGAGGCTATTTTTCTTCATTAACATATCAGTTATTTACTTATCATATCTTGGCAGTGATGGAGGAAACACAGTATATTGTTTAAGGCTGTGATAGAAGAAACACAGGTAAGAGTGGTCAGTGCTGGGACCCTGGAACATAACAACTTATCACCTCACATGTGTGGGAATAGCTAATACCAAAAAGATAGTAAGTGTGAGCAAGAAAGTGGAGAAAAGGGAACCGTTGTACACTATTGGTGAGAATGTATATTAATATAACCACTACGCGAAACAGTATGGCAATTCCTCAAAAAAACTAAATATAGAACTCCCATATGATCAAGCAATCCCTTTTCTGCAAATATAACCAAAGGAATTAAAATCAGTACTGTACAGATATCTGCACTGAAATGTTCATTGCAGTACTATTCATGATAGGTAAGATAAGGAGGCAACCAAGGTATTCTTCATCAAATCAATGGATAATAAAATGTGGAATATGTAGATATACAATGAAATTCTACTCTGCCTTAAAAAGGAAATCCTGTCATTTGTGACAATATAAATTATTATGTGACTCCAGGCAGTCTCGTGTCCTTTTGTCTCCTAAAATCCTGCAATATTGGAAATTCTCACACAGAATGCTCACTTATATGTGGAATCTAAAACATCTGAACTCATACAAATGGTATACCAGAGGCAGCAACATGGATGAGGAAAGGAGAGATGTTGATAAAAGGGTACACAGTTTCAGTTAGTAGAAGTAAGTGTTAAGGATCTATTGCACAGGATGATGACTGTAATAAAAATAATGCATTCCATCTTTCAAAAAACAGAATCATGGTCAGATGCCAGGTACCCACCAAAAAAACACAAGGCAAAAAAAAAAAAAGACAATATCAACAGGTTAAGCACTCATATTTCCAACTCATAGGGGTGCAATGGTTAGAAAAAGTAGAAAATGTGTATTTTCACTGTAGTAGAATTTCTTCACAAAAATAAAAATTACTAACAGGACAGAACCAAAGTAAATTTCCAGCTGGCTCATTTGATGGCCAAATAAGGAAGGTCATTTACCAGTGTTCAGTTTATTAAATTGTTTGGTTGCAACATGAAGAAATGTGTCCTGAGAAAGTAGACTTGTTTTAAGACAATTAGCCTTTCATAAGGAACAGGTGCTTGAAGAGTTGAGAACAATAGGAAAAACACAATAGTCAATTAAAACAAGGCAAATGGATAATTGTCAACATTTTTAAGTTGACAGACATTACTAGTACTGATAGTTTTTGTTTTTGAGAAGCCAGTGTAAAGTTGGAAGTAGGTAAAGAATTACCTATTAGTATGAAATCTATAGGAAACCTGTTAGTCTGGTTGGGCTGCTATTATACAGACAGCCTATAGACAGGGCCTCAACCCTCCTAGAGATTTCTTAAGTGGTTGTAATCAGAATGCAGGTAGAAATGTGAATAGGAAAGCCCATTCTGATGAAGTCTTAGATGGAAATGAGGAAAATCTTATTAGAAACCAGAAGAAAGTCCATCCTTATAAAGTAGCAAAGAATTTAGCTGAATTGTGTTCATGTCATATGTTCTATGAAAAGCAGAACTTAAGCGTGATGAACTAGAATATCTGTGGAGAAATATCTAAGCATTGAGGGTTCAGCATGGCTTTTTTTGACTGCTTATAATAAAGTGCAAGGCAAGAGAAATAAAGTTGAAACTTATAACTAAAAGGGAATCAGAAAAAGATTTAGAAAATTCTCAGCCTGGCCTTATTAAGAATGAAAAAGCATTCTTCAGCAGAGAACACCAAATATGTGACCAAGGAGATTAATATTTTAAGGTTAGTACGTATGAAGGCAGATGCTATTCATAAAGACAATGGAAGAACTACCCCAAAGGCATTTCACAGATTATTAACACTGACACTCCTTTCAAAGGTACAGAGTGCCAGAGCCTTCAAGGCAGAACAGTTTCAGAGGGGCCTAGAACAACTTGGAAGCAAGGGACTTGCTGCCCACTGCTGCATCAAGTCTCTGCTCCTTGAATTCCAATGCAGGGTTTCTTGGCTACCCCACCTACGGCTCAAGTGGTACCAGGTGGGGTTTAAGCTGCCTTTCTAAAAATACAAGCTGGGGCCGGCCCGGTGGCGCACTGGATAAGTGCGCCGCTTGGGAGGCGCGGCGGCGCTCCCGTCCGGGGGTTCGGATCCCCCATGCAGACCGGCTCCCGCTCCCTCGGCGGAGCTGGCGC